AGAATGCCACTGATGATGAATCCTCGGGAAGTGATGATGAAGAGCTTGTAGCGACTGTTGTAAGATCTGAGGGTCTCTTTTTCACCCATGTCGATGGAGAGAAGCTGGTCGATCTCCACCGGGGGTTTAGTGTTTGTTCGGAACCTTGTTACGAATGCTTCCGCCAGTTGAGCCCAGGAGGCTATGCTGCCTTCTGGAAGCTTTTCGAACCAAGTCAAGCCTAGGTCGCCAAGGCTTGATGGGAAGAGTATGCACATTAAGGCCTCGTTTCGCCTGTACATAGCCATGACTTGGCGAAAGTGGCTCAGGTGTGAATACGGGTCCGTCTTCCCTTCATATGTATTGAATTTCGGCTGAAGGAAGCCTGATGGTAGGGGTGCGTTTTCGATCGCTGGGACAAACGGCGAGGTCTGTAGTCTTGCCAATGCCTTGTCTGTTGGTTCGTAGGCCGGTCGCGGTATTGGCATTCCAACCTCGATGCTTCCGTGCGTCCGAGGAGCCAACCGTTGTAAGGCCGAAACTCGGTGTGGATCCCTTGCCCTGGCATCCTCCTTGCATCGTGCTTTTTCTTCTAGCACGGTTCGTAAGTCGGATGACCTGGGTAGCTCTGTTTGTCTGGATCTGGTTTGGTGTGAATGTGAAGGCCAATACGTGCTTCCTTCAGTGTATGATCTTTCTGATCTCGTCCTCTCAGACCTGGAGTGACGAGTCCTGGAGGATAAGGAGTGAGTGTCGCCTGTCCTGAGGCTTCTGCTTTCTCCTTGTGAGGGTGTAGTATTCCTACTGCGATTTTCTGAGTGGCGAGGGGGCGTCTTGTTTTTGCGCCCCTCTCCTGTCGCCACTTCTTTTTTCTTCATCTGGCGTTTCAAGGCCTCCATGTCCGCCGCCATCCTTCTTATCAATTCATCTTGCTCTTTCACACGATCTTCCAGGGCTTGAGGGTCAATCCTTCGTCTTTGCCGGTCGGGACTTTGAGAATGGGATTGACGGGGGCTGTGAGTCCGTCTCCTCCTAGCATCCCTCCTGGAGGTATGTCGTTGGGGCTCCAAGTCCGCCATGGGAGGGACAGAAGGTAACCCTTCACGCCTTGCGCCCTCTTCTGGAGTTAGTCCGTCGACGGCGGACTACGGCAATTCTTCAATGTGTGCCATTGAATGAGAAAAGGAGAAGCTTAGTCAAGAGGTTTCCTTCTGTCTGTTCTTCCCACAGACGGCGCCAATTATACGGGAAAGAAATACGCCTTCTCGTATAATCCTGTTGACCAAGTCCACGCTCCTCCGTACGACGTCGCTTTGTCACCTGAAAACACAAACGTGAGCTAGCCGGCGGGTGTGTGCCGGAAACCTCTCCGATGCCTAAGTCAGTGGGCTTGACAAATAGACAAAGCTCTATGTTCTCAGAAAGTAAAATTGTGTTGTGTTCTGTTACCTCTTCCAAGGTGATGTTTGTGAGCTTTTATATGTTTCGAATGGCACAATCCTAGTAGGACTTCTATTCCTCCATGCAGAGTCCTCCTAGGATTCATACTCCTAAGGATAATGCTTATCCTTTTACACCCCCCCTACTGCTTAAACCAAGTGGGATGGTTTTTACTTTGGCCGAACTACGATATGACCGAAATAAGCTTGGCTATGTAGTGCCACTGAGTAGGCCGAACTATTCTTAGTTCGGTTCTTACGTTTACCCTTTCTTATCTCGGCTTTCCGTGTAGAACCCATGGTACGGGCTTAGACCGAACCAATGATTTTCGGCCGGTATGACTCCAAGACCGGCATAACTCCAAATCGTTCTGGACCGAAGTATCTTTACAGTCCCTGAGCCGAAGTAACTTTACCTCCCTGGCCGGAGTAACTTTGTCTTTCCTAGGCCGGAGTAACCTTGCCTCTCCTGGGCCGGATTAAACTTTTACATTTTTATTTGGGCCAGAGTAATCACTACGGCCTTTTTACTCAGTCCTTCGTACTTTGGGCCACAAAACCCAACTCACAGCTCGGCCCAATTTTTTCCAAAAATTACCCTCTCAGTTAATACATTAGGGTAATGACATTTCAAACTATTCCTGAGAACCCAAGGGATTGTGGCATTGTGGTAAGGTCTTGGGGTTTAAGCCCCAAGGTCACAAGTTCAATTTCCTCCTTGGGCCAATCTTCTGGGTGAAGCACTGTTGGTTAGGAGGTTGGACCTTAAGGATGCCTAATCAGCTACTTGGTGTGGGTTTAATACTCCTCGCTGTGCGAGTCCTGAATTAATCGAAGCTTGCCTTGGGATGTCGAGACAAGCTTTCAGGTTATAGTCTCTTAACTGTTGGTTAGGAGGTTGGACCTTAAGGATGCCTAATCAGCTACTTGGTGTGGGTTTAATGCTCCCCCGCTGTGCGAGTCCTGAATTAATCGAAGCTTGCCTTGGGAGGTCGGGACAAGCTTTCAGGTTATAGTCTCTTACTCGGAACGAACAACAGGACACCCTGGTGATCTCCTCATAAGGCGCTGCCTTGGACCTGCGGGAGGATAGGAGGATTTGCCTGTAACCAAAAAAGAAAAAAAAAAAAAGCACTATTCCTAAGTGCAGTCCCAAGTCCTGTGGTCATTTGATTCTAATCCACTGAATGGTGGTTAATCTAGTTATATAATATAAGGGAAATTATATGTAAGGAAAAAAACTTATAAAAAATTATCATGATATAATATATTAGGGGCTCCATTAATAAAAGAGTCTAACACCGTATTTGATTGGAAAATTTAAAAAAAAAAAACTTAAGAAAAAAACAAGAAAAATATGTGTAAAATTAAATAAAAATAAAAATATATTTTATTTATATTATATTTACATTTTTTTTTTAAATTCTCTCTTAAATTTCCTAACTAAGGCCTTATTTGTCATTTCTTAAAAAAAGTTAAAAAGTTAAAAAGTCACTATTCCTATTTAAGTCACATTATCTTATTTAAGTCATATCACATTTCTATCACATCACTTTAAACCCAACATAAACGTAATTTATATTTTATAAAAAGTCAAAAATACACTTATTTAGAACCTTCAAACAATCCCAAAATATAACATGAGAGTGCACGTGTCAATATAAACTTTTCCACAAGGCAACAAGCAGGAGGGCCCAGCAGCAATTCCGAAGTGCGGCGGGGTTCGGCGGAAAAATATTTTTATTATAAAAAATCATTTAATTATAAAAACAAAAGAAAAATAGTAATATACAAATTAATTATTTATATAAAAAGTATAAAAAAAATTATATACAAAATAATTTAGTTACATTATAATTTACTATTTAAAATAAAATATTCATTTAAATGACAACTATAAAAATATCACTATTTGAATTGTAAATGAACTGAGCAATTCATAAATAATTACAATTCTATTTATTTAAAACTTCTTTGAATTCGATTTGTTTGCTAAATCAATAAATTTGAGCTTAATTTTTAATCTCATTTTAGTAATTGAGTTTGCTTTAAGACCTCCAAACTTGGCTTGAGAAGGTCCGCGAATACAAGGGGTGTTTATTTTTGGTGTTTATTTTTAATAAAGTATTACATGCATTTTTATTAATTTATTTTTGATGTTTGTGTTAATTGAAATATTTGATTAATAAAATTTGTTATTAATATAAATATTTTTTTCTATTTACTTATATTTTTCTCTGCAAATTAATTTAAATTTTTTTTTTCAAACTCAAACACAAACTCAAACTCAAACACTCTAAAATTGGTTTGACTAAGGCCCGTTTGCCAAGATGGTTGGAACAAATTTAATCTACTAAAAAAACAAAATAGGCTAAAAGGACAGGAAGACAAAATGTCACGTTTAAATCATAATTATTTTAATTTTTCTCTCACAAAATTATAAAAAAGTCAAAAGTTAATTTCAAATATAATTTTTTTGCCCAGAGGCCTCATTTGGAAAGTTGACTATTTTAGTGTAGGCTAAAATTTTTATATTTGGGAAGATGGTTGAATTTTTTTGTAATTAAATGTGATATTTGTAAGAAAAAAAAAGTGAAATGATTATGGATTTGATGTAACATTTTGTTTTATTGGTTATTTTAACTTATTTTATCTTTTTGTGAATTTTAGTCTAAAAAAAACCAAAAACCCGCTTTCCAAACGGGCCTAAAATAGTAAAAAAAAATTAAAAAATTAAGTTAAAAAAATTAATTCTAAATACTCAAAAAAAAAACATTTAAAAATCAGACTAAAAACGTTATTTAAGCACTTTGCAATTCTAACCATCTATATTACAAATTCTATTTACATAATATTTAAAATATAAATAAAATGTTTTAGAGTGGTCCAAACTAATTAAAAAATAGGAAAAAGTTAGAGATCATGAAATTTTTTTTATGAAAGTGATCATGAAAAATTTATGATCCTTAGATTACCTTAATTAGTGTATGGTACTTTATTTTAAGTGTAATCCAAGAGTCACAAAATTTTTATAATTATTTTCATAAAATTTTTTCCATAATACCTAACATTGCTGATTAAAATAACATACCCACATTACAAAAGCCATTAATAAATGTTTCCTTACAACCCAACACGCAAACCTCGGAGGGGACCTTCAATACCCAGAACCACCCCCCTTCAACACCCCCACAACCCCACTTTTTCACCACCTACACCACTCCTTAATCAAACAAAGTCCTTCAATATTAAGCACCATTTCCTAGTCTACCCGTGTGCCCAAAATTCTCTGTTTTTAAAGCACTCTTCTCTTTGTCTCTCATCATTTTCTTGAACAATATGGCTACTGGAGGAGGAGCTGGCTCCCCTTGCGGTGCATGCAAGTTTCTCAGGCGAAAATGTGCTTCTGATTGCATCTTCGCGCCTTATTTTTGCTCTGAACAAGGCCCAGCCCGGTTCGCTGCTATTCACAAGGTGTTCGGAGCTAGCAATGTTTCGAAACTGTTGCTGCACGTACCGGTTCCTGACCGGTGTGAGGCTGTTGTGACAATTGCTTATGAAGCTCAGGCTAGAATTAGAGATCCTGTTTATGGCTGTGTTGCTCATATCTTTGCTTTGCAGCAACAGGTTGGCATAGTTTGTTTTCTTCTTATTGTTGTATGGATTTCGTGGCTGTGTTATGTTTCACTTTTTAAGTTTTCCTTCTTGGGTATGTTTTATGTTTCTTTTATGAGTCTTCTTTAAGTGTGGATCATAGGTTTTTACATGGTTTTCAATCTCTAGCTCTGTGTCCAAGCTTGGGTTGATATACAATTTGACCTTGACAACCACATTTAGTATCAGTAGTGATAATGACTTAATAGAACAGTTTCTAGCAAATGGAGTAGGTGCCGAATCCAGTGGTTGGGCCTGCTTACTCCCACCCTAAATTAGGTATTTTTTTTTCCTTGTGTTTAGATGATGGATTTGGATAGAAATTTTAAAAGAGATGAGAAAAATGTGAGTGAAATGCGAATAAAATATAGTTACATTTCACTCACATTTTTCCTTTCCCTATCTAAATTTATACCCAAATCCATTATTCAAGCACAACTTTAATGTTGAATTTTTTCTTTTTGCTATTTTGAGCTTACGTGTATGAATAATTTTTTGGATGGCTAATTAACACATTTTTTTTGATGGGTGAAGGTAATACATTTTTAAGTTGGTTAATTTTTGAATGTGTGGTTCAATTTCAGCTTGATAAACTTATTTGTATTGTAAAAATAAAGTAGTGAAACTTGATTGAATTAAAACTCATTTAGAATTAATTCGAGTTGTAGAAAAATTAAACGTAAAGGCATATTTAAAAAAAAAATTTAATTTACTACTCTGCTACACTCAACTCATTTATAACACTCAAATTTTTTTTTTGGAAAGATCAGACTCTTGTCTATACTACGAAATAAATGAGCTAATTGATAGTGTGTGTGTGTGTGTGTGTTTTCTTAATTTGTGTTTTGCTCTTTGGTAGGTGGCCTGCTTGCAAGCCCAACTAATGCAAGTGAAGTCTCAACTGGCACAAAACGTCATTGACTCAAGGAATGCAGAAAGTCAATGGCCTGGGAATAACATGGTTGGAATGCCGGCATTTCAGACTTATCCAAACTGCATGAACTCTTCTATCTCGGCTCAGAGTTCACTGGAGTCCATTGTCCATGGCATTGATGGAATGGGAATGCAAGAGGTACAAAGCAGAGATGAACTATCTTTTCAACCCTACTCTAAGAAGAGACCTTCACAAACTGACCTTGGTGAGCTTCAAGCTCTTGCCCTTAGGATGATGAGGAACTGACTCATCATGATGTTGACAATGATGAGCTTTTTGGCTTCATGATTTATATATAGAGAGAGCCTTTGGAGAAACTTAGCAATGCTATACAAATAAACCAATTTTATATTAAAAAAAAAGTTTGACTAACTGATGATGCACCTATTATATTATTGTAATAAGTCCTGTTTCAAATTTTGAAAGCTCAATATCATATGCTATCATGTCAGTGAGTGAGAAGAATTAGAAAGTTTGTTAGTTTGTAGAACAGTTTTCGATTTGATGTTACAAGTCTAAAATCAGGAATTTTCCTTCTCTTACCAAAGAAAGTAATATGCTTACATAACTATTACACAAATGATGACAATATTATTGTGACGGTGGTATTTTAAAATTTATGAGTCATCTTAATGGTTCTTCTACTTTAAAATGATAAAATTAGAATTTATCATATTATTTTATATTAATTTTTTGTATGACTTTTTTTTGTTTGTTTAGCAATTTTCTTTACCAAAAAACAATTTTAACAAAGTTGAAATGAACTCTCTCTTTATTAGTGTAAGCTGTTACTGTTAAGTTGCCAGGGTTGTGTGATTGCTTTATGAAGATTGTTTAGAGGTTGCTTGTGAACATGCAACAATAATGGAGACACTATTTTTGACATTTTGAAAGTAAAACTTTGGAATTAAGGATCACCTTGAATTGTTATAAATATTTTATTTGTCAAGTTTGATTTTTGCATAAAATATTTAAGATTGGCATATTTTAGATATTCTATACAAGTACGTATAATTGAAGTTGGAACCTTGTGATGTCGTATCCGAGAGATTAAATTAACGAGGCTAACTAATAATTGGTTTTTAGGGCATGAAAAAAGACTAAAAAAATAAAGAAAATAAAATAATTTTAACTACTTTCATAACTTTTTTGATCTTTTTACTTATTTTCAAAACACTTTTCACGTCATCCTAATGTTATACAATACCTCAAGAGCACTCGTTGACATCTGCTTAAATTTTAAAAAATGCATGGTTAAAGGGTCATCAGAAGATTTCCTAAACGAGATCTTACAAGTGATCCTAAGGTTAAGTTTGTGTTATTGTGCCATCTATAGGATTTCCCTATTTGATTGTGCCATTTTAAACCAAACTACTGGTATGTCCTCCTACATGGAATGTTAAATTTTGTTCTATTTCCTGCAATCTATGATGGGTTAAATATATATATATATATATATAGGTGATGAAGTTTAAGTAACCTAGTGACTTTGCTGTGATAATGTTAGCACCATAAATCTATAATTTTTATTATTATTTATTATTTATATAATTGCAGGACACGTGTCATCCTCTTATTCATTTGGAAATTAAAAGAAGTTATAGAGATAATAGAGAACATGAAGGACAAAGTGGATGAGTGGGAAGATAAAGTGGATGAGTGGAAGGACACATGGCAAGACAAGAATGAAGATGGAAGAAATGGGTAGTTACTAAATAGTTATTGCTGTATTTTTTCTTCTATAAATAGCCATTAATAGCTACATTGTAAAGGATCCAGAACTATAATCAAAGACAATTTATTTCAATATTTCTTGTCATTTTCCTTATCTTAGGAGTAGTTTAACATAGATTTATATTTCGAAGCATTTATTTTCAGCATTTCCATTTCGATGCATTTTATGCACTTCCTTTTCGAAGCGTAGGAGTAGAGGTAAGTAATTATTACTTTGATTGTTCACTCAATCGTCCTTCTCCATCCCTCATTCTTCTTTTAATTTTTCTTTTCTCTACACTTTGGTAATTTTGAAGTCCTCTTCGTTGAGGCAAAAGAACCGTCAACGCAATCACTTGATAATTGGCTTGAATTTAATCTGTAAGGATTTTTCAATCCTTGCTGGCACGCTCGCATTTGTGATATTTTCTTTCGTAGGAAAAATAAGCCAACATTTTTTGGCACGCCCAGCGGAATAGCCAAGTGTAAGAAATGACAAACTATTTGGATTTCACCATTCGAACTTGTCAATATGAAATATATTGGCGTGAAAGAGAAATTTTGGATCTTCAAGAAGAGATCCATTTTCTTGATGAAATAAACTTTCATCCCTTACAATATTATTTGGTGGAAGAAAAAAGACACCATTTAATTGGAGAAATTCATCAACTTGATATGGAAATTCGCCAATGGAATGATGAGTTATCAACTCTCACTACCAAGTCTTTAACGGAGGCTTTAATGGTCGGAATTGTTGAATTTTTTCAGAATTTTTCCATGGTTAAAAATAGCAAAAGCAAAGAATTGATTTCATCAATGGCTCGGGGGGTTCAAGAATCCGTTTTGAAAGAGCCAAATTATGAAATTAACATAACGAAAGAGCATGTTTTTGAGCCAAATTTGGCTAAGAACGATGTTTCATACATGGCTCGGGGGGTCCAAAAATCAATTTTTAGAGAGTCAAGTCATGAAAATAACATATCTATGGGTGATTTTTATAAGCCATTAATGGTTAACATGGAAAAACAACCCACTTTGCTAAATAATTATGAAAACCTATTCGGCAAAAGTCATGTTTTTAAAACAAATATAGTCAAGAGTAATGAACAAGCCACTGTTCATTAATTCAAAATTTTTGACATTTTTCAAAATGTCAAAAAGTATGAATTTTCATGGTCACACCATACCATGACTTTTGGTGTTCAAAATCCTTTTTGGATTTGTGGTTCACATCAAAATACAATTTTGACGATGTGGCTAATAAAATTAACAAATTGTTCTTATGAGTTCGAAGCACTAAGAACAAGGGATGACCATTTAAAATGCATGAATTTGGCTAGAAAAAGCCTGTGCATTTAAATAAATGATTGAGAATGGCTTATCTTTTCAAATTGATGGCCAGTTGTTTGTATGTACACAATCAAAGCATCGAAGATACATTCGAAGCATCAAGAGTTGTTTCGAAGGTTGATTACTTCACCTTCGAAGCTGTATAAAGCTTTGAAGATACATTCGAAATATCAAGAGTTGTTTCGAAGGTTGATTAAAGGTTGATTACTTCACCTTCGAAACTGTATAAAGCTTTGAAAACTTTCGAAATGTGTACATCTCTTCAAGTATATGTAAAATGATAATTAATTAGTTGTCGAATAATGCCTGCTTTTGGCATGATAAGTTGGTTCAAAGAACAACAGTTTTGGTGTCTTCGAAAAATTAATAACTAGTTCGAAGCACAAAATCAATATTTTCATTAATTATGTATGAACCAGAACATACAAAATGTGAATAACTACAATGTTGGCCAAAAGCTGCTTCGAAGGCTCTTTTGCCATAATTTTGTAAGCTCCGAAGCACTCCATCTTGCATTAACAGCTTCGAAGAAACAATAATGGTGGTTGTGAACCTTCGAAACTTTGCCGAGTATTTCTAAGGATGTAATTTATCCTTTGTCAGCACTTCAACCTTCGAAAGATGATTTTGTCCTTTGTACCACCTTCGAACTTGTTACTAGTCCATAATAGCTAGCATTGAGACATCTAGTCATAATGTCATACTCATTCGAAACACTTCATTGGTGCTATTATATCATTCGAAGACTTTGTTGATATTATTCGAAGCATTTTATTGCTTAGATTAGTCATGTGCTTGGTTCGGCCATTCAAAAATTCAAGTAAACATCATTTTTAAGGCGCGGGGGTAATGTTAGCACCATAAATCTGAATTTTATTATATTTATTATTTATATAATTGTAGGACACTGTCATCCTCTTATTCATTTGGAAGTTAAAAGAAGTATAGAGATAATGGAGAATATAAGAAGTGAATGGGACAAAGTGATGAGTGGAAGGACACATGGCAAGACAAGAATGAAGATGGAAGAAGATGGGTAGTTACTAAGTAGTTATTGCTGTATTTTTTCTTCTATAAATAGCCATTAATGGCTACATTGTAAAGGATCCAGAACTATAATCAAAGACAATTGATTTCAATATTTCTTGTCATTTTCCTTATCTTAGGAGTAGTTTAACATAGATTTATATTTCGAAGCATTTATTTTCAGCATTTCCATTTCGATGCATTTTATGCACTTCCTTTTCGAAGCATAGGAGTAGAGGTAAGTAATTATTACTTTGATTGTTCACTCAATCGTCCTTCTCCGTCCCTCATTCTTCTTTTAATTTTTCTTTTCTCTACACTTTGGTAATTTTGAAGTCCTCTTCGTTGAGGCAAAAGAACCGTCAACGTAATCGCTTGATAATTGGTTTGAATTTAATCTGTAAGGATTTTTCAATCCTTGCTGGTACGCTCACATTTGTGATATTTTCCTGCGTAGGAAAAATAAGCCAACAGATAATCCTCATCTTAATAAACAAAGAAATTATTCAAAACTACATCCGACATTTAATACCCTCATCAATTGTTTGTGTGAACGCAATGTCTACTCAAATAAATGATAGATAGTCATTTGTGACAGTTTGCAACAATAAATAATTTTTGCACTAAATGGGAATTAGAGAGAAGGGATGAATGTTATCATTGTGGTTAAGGAAAAGAAACCTTTGAGATGAGTAACTAAGGGGCCCACATGCCCAGGGTTTATGCTCTAATAAGTAGGTTTACCAAACTTAAGTGCTCTTTTATAATTTTAATTCCAGTATTTAAATGATGTTGTAGGCAGATTGATAGACAAAATGTCCCCTTGATTGACTGCGCACGGCTTCATAATGAGTTTAGTAGCATTGGAGACTTCTATCAAACTAATCAAGCAAATTTTATATTGGTTCTCCAAATTAAAGTGCCAAGTAATATATTATTACTTACTATATAAGCTTATTGGTAGAGGGTTTAATAATTGGCCTTTGCATCAAACAAAAATAATTAATATGTCATTCTGCCCCTTTGGTCGGAAATGTTGCTTTGTTAATTTGTCAAATGACTTACCAATTAATAGGCCATTTATATATTAATTAAGCCGTGACAGTATGAATTGGGTCCCTCAGTTTAAATAATTTATACTCGTGCAATATCATTGGTTTTTTTTTTTTCCTAATAGAAATTTTTTATACATAAATTATGTTTGTATAAATAATAGGTTTTTAAATTCAAATAAATGAATGTGGATACGAGACATAATTCTATATTTAAATTTCTTTATTGATGTTATTTTTTGTAATTTTATACTCTTGAATTTGCCTCCGTTTGGGAAGTGAGTTGATTTTTTGATTTTTTTATTTTTTT